AAAATCAATCGCCCTCACAATCCAATAGACATTTGCAAGCAAAAGTAGTTTTTTTAAAAATAAAAACCCCTGTAAACCGAGAAATGAGGATTAACTAACAAAAACTTACAAATGTTTTTTTCTCCCCCCCCCCCATGAACACTTGAACGAGGACTCACTTTGGCTTACATTACATTTTAAAGCCCGACAGTAGTTTTTGCCCAAGAGTAGTGTAGTTGAAAGCCTGATTAATGGTTCCTAATGGAATGAGATCCTCTACTCAAATTATTATTATTAACAAACACCCCCTGAAACAGATAGGTCACCCCCCCCCCCGGAACCACTAGGAAATACTTATTTGAATAATTGGAAAAATGATGCCCCCGCAATACCCGCCTCAAGGTGTTCTGCTATACTGCACACATCGTTGTTAAAGTAAAACTATGCTGCTAACTTAAGTGATTGGCCTTACATGAGGCAAGTTCTCGGAGTTCTAGTGAGAAGACGTAGACCAGTGGAGTTAAAAACTTCGGTAGAGTGTACGGCAGAAACACTACCGAAGGACAAATGGATGAGGTCCGCCACCAAAATCCCTATCCCTTGATCAGAGTTACACATTAACACCCATCGCGATTGGCCGGTCTCAGTGGTCTCAGACGTTCACGTGCGTCTACGAATCCTGGGCGAGGTCGCCAGGAGTCGTGGCATGCGTACGAAGGCTTTCCCGCTAATAAATGGATCACTCTGGACCCGACCATGACTGACACAGTAGACAGTCCCACACTCCACTTGTCTTATAGCATTATATTGACTGCCATAAAAAACTTTCAAAATGACATGTTCGGTCCACACACTGACACCGCCCCTGGTGTTGAATGTATCACCCCCAGTGTTGTATACTCAATGTCTGTCAGCCCCGCGCTCAGACCCCCCATTTAACACTTTCCTCAAATTGTTTATCCGATAAACCCTTATTCATACACTTGACCACAGAACATTTTTTTCATAGTAGAGTTGATGTTAGTCTATGGCGACAAACTCTAACTCTAAAACCCCCTAATCCTTACACCTTGAACACTTTGAACCCTAACCAAAGAAAAACAAAATATAGGCCGACTGAGAAAAAAAATCTATTCTATTCC